TTGATTTTGTCCCTTTCTTCTTTTTTGATATGTGCATCTATTGCTATAAATTGTCCTCTGAGGACAGCTTTTGCTGTGTCCCAAAGGTTTTGATATGATGTGTTTTCATTCTCATTTGATTCTGGGAATTTTTTGATTCCATCTCTGATTTCTTCTATTACCCAGTGATGTGTAAGCAGGGTATTAATCAGTTTCAATGTAGTTGATTTTTTTTCCTTGCTCTTTCTATCCAACTACACCTTTATGAGTACATAAGCAGTACTGTCTTTTGAATATACACTTAAAGGATAATTGATTTTTTTTTAATTTGTTATTGTTGTTGAGGATATACGCAGCAAAACATACCAGTTTAACAGTTTCTACATGTACAGTTCAGTGACATTGATTACATTCTTTGAATTGTGCAACAATTCTCACCCTCCTTTTCTGAGTTGTTCCTCCTCCATTAACATAAACTCACTGCCCGCTAAAGGTTCCTATCTAACCTTTTGAGTTGCTGTTGTCACTTTGATCCCATATAGATAGTTCTTAAAAGAGTGTAATGGCATAATTGATTGTTTATATCAGAAAAGTTAAAAAAAAAAAATTACTATGATTATGGACTGTCATATCTTATTTAATTAATCATGTAATTGATAACAACAACACATTTTTCTCTTCAGGTGCGGTATGGGTCACTAAAATACAAAGTGAAGAAGAGACCACAGGTGTATTTTTAGCCATCTGCATTTCAGGTGTCCCAAGACAAATTATACTAATACATCAACTTCATTTTCTAACATTATATATTCAGGATTTATACATTAAAATAATTCTTTAATTCTTTAAATTATGGTGGTGATAGGGTTTACTTTCATCAGTTTAAATAGTTTTTATTTCGTTAACAATTACTTCCAAATCTTGACTACTAAAGGTAGTTATGTAAAGTTTATTAATATTTATATAAAAAATTATCAAAATTCATGTTGTCTCTTTTAAATTCACCAACAACGTTGAGTGCCTGGAATATAAGATGAAAAGCAAGCCCACAGTATACTTGAAAAGAGTGTTTTTGTGGTTCAGGATACATCAGCCTTTATGGTATTGTCTTGTGTTTACCTCTATTTATGTTATATACATCACATGAGGATAGTAATTAAATAGACCTCTAACCCATCAGTAATATAACAAGGTAATAGTGTAAGATGATAAAGTATGTTTTAAATATTCTTTAAATTTTTACCTTTATAATACTTTCTAGTTTTTCCACCATCAACGAAAAGTTTTTAAACAAATATTTCAAAACCAGGTATCCACGTTGCACTTTTATTCTTGAATAGTTTTGCACACTTGAAAATTGTTTACTTATATTACGGCTGTACATTTATTTTAAATTTTACTGACACTACCATTTTGTTGTTTATCACAGTCTGGCATGTCACATTTATGCCTTGAATTACATCATCTCTTTTCCTGTGGGTTTCATTTGTTAAATTTGTTTGATTTTAGTAATATAAAAATATAGCTAATGGTTAAATTTTAACTGTTTCTAATTACCTTCTTTACAAATAAGAAATTATTTTAAACATTAACCAATTTTCCATATTTAGCTGTACATTATAGTTGGATTTAGCATGTTTTTATTAACATTGGTTACATTTTCAGCTTTTAAATGGTAGCTTGTGAAATAGAGTCAGACACAGGTATAGATAGCACTTAGGTTTCTTCTAGCTCATGAAATTGTCCAACAGCCAGTCTACTTCACAAGCTTGGCATTAGATCTGCTACTGGTTTACACATCTGACATTGACTAGAATCATTTGAATCACTTCTCTCCTGGCTGAAATAATTTCCTGAAGATGAGTGCCAATGCAAAATACATATTAGAAACAATTAGAAAATTATAATTTTTTTTAATCCAAGGGATTTTGAGTTATTGATCTTTGAGACTCTTAGGTTACATTGATAACTATGCGTTATGAACCTCAAGTCAATATGTTTTTGGTGGTGGCTTTAGTGGTCAGTAATCAAATTTATACAATTATGCTTACTCAGATAATTTACTTAACTATTGTTTGTCCAAAAGGAAAAAAAAATTTAGATTTGTGGGATCTTGGCTCTTTCTGCCTTTTAAGAAATGAAGCCAGCTGGTGATGTATGTTCAGGACCTCTTCAGAGTATTAACTAAGAAGAGAATGTTTACTCAGGAGTACCTTAGTATAGAATCGACTTGATAGCAACTGTTTATTTTTTATTTTATTTAGTATAATTCATACACTGCCTCTTGATACTAGCTTTAAAATATTTTCTAGCTTATCTCATTGATACGGAACACCAAGTAAAAATTTATTCAACTTCTTTTCACCTAAAGTTTTAACTCTATGAATATCTTTATCAACTTTACCTTGGCTAATTTTTAGCCCCTTAGTTTCTGGAAAAACTCTTTAATTTCTGTTCAAAATTCCTATAGCAAGTTTTCATTATAAACTCTTGGAAAAGAGTTTTATTTATATTGCCTAGATCTAGTCTTCTCAGTAGGAGTCCTGGGTGGTGCAAATAGGTAATGCACTTGGCTGCTGACCAGAAAGGTTGGAAGTTCAAGTCCACCCAGAGGCACCTCAGAAGAAAGACCTGGGGATCTACTTCCAAAAAATCAGCCATTGAAAAACCCTATGGAGTACAGTTCTACTCTGACACACATGGGATCACCGTGAGTCATAGACTACTTGATAGCAACTGGTTTTAGACTTCTCAGTATAAATGCTAGCATGCTGTCTTTTCTACAAAAAGACATTGTCCTCTCAAATTGCATAATAAGGTCATGAGAGTGACTTTGTATCAAGAACACTGTCTGCGGGGGGCTGATTTACACCGTTGTATCTTTTTCAAGTCTAATCTCAGTATCAAACCTTTAATTATAGTAAACTCATAAATACTATTTTCATTTGGAGCAATTATTGCTCTGCACTACAAGAATCAAAATATTTAATCAAACATAACACCAGTCAGGAAGAGGTAGTGCAACTCTTGTTTTTTGTGCTCCTTCACATTTCACAGTGCTTCCTGATACATGTTTTGTGGCATCCTTATACACATTTGATGTCATTTTGGTATTCTATCATTTCCTCTTTCTCCTCTTCTTACATTGCTTAAATTTTGGTTCTTTTCCCATATGTGTATTTTAGCATGTCATTTCCTTTGTCCTTTGTATAATAGGCTTAATTATACACTTTATTTTCTTCTAAGATAGGGCAGCTCTTTTGCCTTTCTCTGTTTTTAAGTCTTCTGGTTTTAAAAGAAGTAAAGTTATTCCTAGAGCCACAGTGCCTTGCTTTCCCCCCACCATTGCTTGCATGGGCATCACATCTACAAGCCTATTTATACTATTTGGTAGCCAGTTAATGTATCTAGAAACTGTAACTGGTGTTTTGTTTTATTATATGTTCATTCAGCTTATTCATTAACATTGGCTATTTCCAGAGTCTCTTTAGAAGTAAAAATTGATCTATTCTTTACCGTATTTATTCTGGTATAAAAACGAGCCAGAAGTGAGCCTTAATGCTAAGTAAGTAATTACGGAAACCCACCTAGGTCCTGCATAAGGTCCCCTCCATACACTTCTCTATATTTGTGGATTTTGGCATGAAAGTGATACTGCCAGCGTTTTTCATAATAAGTACTTGACTACACTGATTGGTGGAACAAAATTATTATCAAAGTGTTTTCAGGGAACTTAATCCGTATGTCACCACCAAAGATTTCTGCAGTATTATAATGTAAATATTCCAAATTTCTGTAAAACCTTGATTAGATAAAATGTGTTTTTCTACCTTTTTTTTTTCTGAAATAGCAGTTTGTGCTTTTGGAAAATGCCTGAACTTTTGTGTTGTTAAAAAAAATAATACTGTCTTATATTGAATATCAGTAATTTATATTTTTGATTGGAATAGACTAAATTTTCATTTCAGTTATCTTTTATCAGGAAAATTAAGGAGTTATTACGTATTTGGAAGCAATTTCCTGTGTTTTCTCCATGTTAGTAGATTCATTTGTGAAGCAATTAGGTAAATTTTGAGATGATGGTTGTTATGGTGGGATCAGTGTGTATTTCTTACTGCATATCAGATAAGATTAAAGCTTTCTGAAAAGAAAGTACAGCTCTTTTCACTAAATGTTTTTAAGATTTAATCTTGTACTAGTATTTTGCAGATTTAATGTATATTAACTCTTTTTTTTAAATACTGACCATGACTTAACATTTTCTCTTCTAACACCTTTTAAATCTGTTTACTTTAACAATTAAGAAAAAACAGTTTTACAAATTGTTAATCCCTTTGTAAAGGTGATCTTTAAACCCAGGATGTGGGTAATTTTACAAGTGTGGTTTTTGAAAACTTTAATATGAAAATAAACTCATTTTATTAGTGACAGCTTGTTTTTTTTTTCTTGTGTCAGAGTATGTGTGTTTGCATTCCATGAATTGATATTATTTATTATTGAATATATCTTCATTAGTTAATGGACAACATATGCACAAATTACAGAGCAAATTATAAGAATCAGATACATTCTGGAATGCTCATCCATAGGATTACAGAAGAAGCACTGAATTGTTAAATTTCAGTGTTAGAAAGGAAAGACAGGAACAGCAATAAGCAAAGACACCCTAGCCATCAATTTGAATTGGTTAACTGTGTCAGGCATAAAATATAAAACAAAATTCAGATTTACCTATCCTAGAAATGTTCTGGGCTTCCATCTGTTTTAAAGTCAGACATTTGTCTGCCTCACATTTAAGCTTTAGAGAGAAATCCTATCTTTACAAAAGTTGCTTTGTATTACTTCATTATGATATGTAATGTGTGTTAAAATATTTCCAGGCAGTGTTTAAAATGGATTTATATTTTCATTTGTTTTATGCAGTATATCCTTATGATGATCCATAAAGGTTAGAAATTTAAATAAAAACTCAAAAGTACACAACAAATACATGAACTGCAGCATTTTATCTAGTGTTTTATTCCCCCTTTAAGTGGTTCACTGTTTCTGAGAAAGATTCATGGAACAAAAATCCTCTCAGAGGCTGATTGATTGTTCCCTGGAAAACATTCTGCCCTCTCTTACCTCCCCACCAATAATCTAGCCTTGAAACACTCTCTTTATAATCTAGCTATGGTGATGTTTTTTAAATTGCTTTTTATAAGATAATGCTTTGAATTGAATTTTTAAAGCAGAAGATTGATAATTGTCTATAAGTGTAGGTTACTAATAGACCATGCTCAACAAAAGCAGGACAATTCACCATGCTCACTCTTTGTTTACCTGGCAATCTCAGATTACAGGGAAGGAGAGAAAGGAAGGTATAGTATTTTGGCATTGTGTGCAAATCAAATTAACATGAATGTCTTTTGCATTCAAAAATATTCATTTGAGTGCCTACTCGGTACAATATACCATATGTTTCTGCACTATACCTACATTCAAGTAGGAAAGCATAGCAATTAAGAGAAATAATTCTTGCTTTTAAAAAATGGATTCACTGTTACCAAATCAGTCTTTAGATTATTTGAGTATTATTTATACTTGGATTTCTTCTAGGTTATTGAATACTTTATTTGGTTTTTCTCAGGACAGATTTTTTTTTTTTAAATCCTGATTCCCTTCTTTCCCTTACATTCTCCATCCAATACATTAGTTACTCGTTTGGGGTCTCTCCAAAATATGTGCTGAATCTGACCATTTAACTCAACTCCCTGCAACTTCCCTAGTTCAAGTCACATCATCTCTCACCTGGAGTAGTCAGAACATAACTTTTGTTTAAGGCAGACTTCCTTGAAACGTTACATCTTTAATAGCCTTGCAAATTTTTCAAGATGACTCTTAACCTTGGGTCCCATAGGACCATCACAGTTTCTTATCTTTACAACTAGTGTCTTTAGGGAATACTTATTAAAAAAAAAGGAGTGTCGGAGAGAAGGGAGGTGAAGGAGGAGTAGATGGTTTTGAATATCAGCCTTGGAAGAAAAAAGCAATGCTGAGAGTAGGACCGGGTAGATGAGGAGAGGCGTTGAGGAAGCCAGTGTAGAGTGACTGGCTGAATTCTAATGTGTTTTGACATGGTGGCATCTCAGAGTATTGGGAAACAGGTTGGGATATAAGTGGAGATGTCTCCCTCACCAATGCTAGGTCTAATTTAAGTTACTCTAAATTTGAGGGCTACAATAATAGATTATGGTAGTGTCAGAAGTTCATACTAGTTATAGTTATCCTTAACATTAAGTTCCAAAAGAAACTGTTTACCTTGAAATACAAAATTGTGTGACTAATTCAGTATGTAGAAATGTACGAGTCCTGGGTTTTATTAGTTTATCTTAGGAAGAAACGGAATATTGGAGGACACAGTTTATTTGGAAAAGAGGAGGAATTGTACATTATAAGGCTTCCGATGTCCCGTGTATTCAATTGTGATAACGTGTATATCAGTTTGTCTTCACATTTTGGGAAGAAGTATCTTCCCTGTTTTACAAATGGAGAAACCTAGACTCCATAGCGACCGACCTAGGGTCAACCACGATGTTTGTGACTTCAGACTCTGGGTTGTTAATTCAATCACACTAGGTTATCTTGGAGATCACAGAATGCCTTAAAAGCTAATTTAGAAATGATTGTTAGCATGCTACGTATGTATTGTACAAAAATTTCACATTTTTAATCAGAAGATTAAATGTAGGAGAAGTTTTGAGTCATTTGAATAGTAGATTTGGCTCTTAAAGTAGCTTCAGTAAAGGGAGAAAGGATGCTTTTGAAATAAAGAGAATAAAGGCAAATAATTTACTATTGGCTAAGACAAACAGGAAGAAGAGAGTGGAGAGGATGTAGCTTAAAAGGGAGGAGTATCCTCTCAGGAAGAGCTTTCCTTCCTTCCTCGCCTTTCCACCAGCATTTGTTCCACGGCTTCCTCCCTTCAAACCACACCTTGTAAACCCTTTTATGTGCTCTGTTCACAACAAAAAGAATTTTCGTGTGTTGCTCCATAGTGGATTTTAACTAATAAAACACACACACACAAAGGACCAAGGGCCTTTTTACCCAGGAGATGAACTTTTATTCAGCCTTTAAGTTGAAAGTGAGTACAGTTAGGATAAATAGCAGGAGACAGTTACCATATGCTAGGTTCTACGAAAGTGGAGCTGTACTATTCATCGTTTACAACATGTTGTGTAAAATTAAAGCTACAGGGGGCTCCCAGGGAGGTAAATTAGACAAAGGGAAGACAGAGAACTTGTTTTGCTATATTCTGAAATGCCAATGAGAAAGCAAAAAAAAATTTTTTAATAGTTATTTAATATTAAGCAATTTACAGAAGTTGTGGCATTTACCTTACAGTCATTGAAAATCTGAAATTAGAAAAGACATTGATGATTGAAGGGGGAAAAAAACTAAATTTTGTAAACTTATTGGAGGAAAAAAAAGAATGTTTCAGAAAAGCAGGGATAAATAACCTTCCAAAGTGCAAAGCGAGGTTATGTGAGATCAGGCTGGTGTTTGACCCGACTGTCTCAAAGCACATTAGGCTGCGGCAAGTAATAATTGCTTCCTCATTTAGATTAGCCATTGCCTCCTCTCTGCAAGCTGCTCTCCTCTAAATAGATTGTAGAGTGTAATTGAAACAAGTTACACGGGGAAGTGGAGTGACCGATTCCTCAATGTGTGAGAGCAGAGCTATGGTAACCTCTTAAGCCTGGCCTTCATCCTGTTCCTATTTAGGGATTCCGCAGGGCAGTCGGTGTTGAGTGCAGTCTGCAGTTCGCCAGCTTTGTTGTTTAGACTTGAAGGGAAGGTCACATGCCCTCTTTGACAGAGAGGTTTATGGGCTCTCTCTAATTAGCAGCACCCTCCACCAGACAGACTGTTGGCTATCGTCCAAGAACGGGGTTTGGTAGCGGCCACTGATGAAGGAGAAAACAAGGTTATTTACCCTGCCTGTGACTGTAATTCTTGGCACAAGTTCTGTCTTTACACGCAGACACGTTTTCCTTTTGTTCCAACTTGCCTTTGGAATTCTGAATAGGGCTTTAAGAGAGGGAATTTAGTGGTGTAAGCAACCCACATGTTGGCCTCAGATACTTTCTGCTATTCTGGGGCCGCACGGTTCAACGCCATCGATTACAAAAAGAAAAAAAAAAAAAGCAATGTAGTCAAAGCGTTGCTTGCAAATGTAAATGCTTGAGCACATGCCCACACACAACCTCAGAAAAGGAAGTCTAATTTGCAACATCTATAAAATAGTGACAATTGTACGTTAGGGCGCTTAGAAATCCCAGCGGTAAAATGTGATTGGGTTTAGCTATTACCCGAGTGTTAAAAGAGAACCAGGAATATATTTGGCTTGTCTACTTCTGTCGGTTCTGCAGGATGGTGGATTAAGCTGATAAAAATGCTTTTTGGTTGATTTAAACCAGATGCTCCGACTATTTTTGTCCTGTTTGCTGGCGCAGCTGCACTCGCTGTAAGAGGCAATACTGCCCCCCTCGGCCGTCCGCCAACTGCAGGGGAAGGAGCCTCGTCTCCGCCACCTACCTCGGCCATAAAAACCTTTCAAGTCTCCTTTATTATTCCAGGCACATTCCAAGGGAGTTGAGTCACAGGTTCACTTGGCTTTTCTCCCGTCCTGAGCTGCCTGTACCAGGTGGAATATGACCTCCAACTTCAAATATGAAATCTATAACCAGTCAAAGAGCGCTTTAGGGCAGGCCCCCAGATGCAACCCCTACTGTAATTTCTTCCCCGACACCTGGATTTTGCGGGCTGCGCAGCTGGAGTTCCACGACCATGACTAGGGTCGCCTGGTCAAATCATGGGGATTTTCCTTTGGGAATTCTGTAGAGCTGCTTTTTTTTTTCCCTACTGGTTTGAGAGGCTCCAAAGGCCGCTCGGACAGAGGCAGGATTGGAAACCTATACGCAGTATGACCCAGAGGGCTAGGGGTCAAAGGCGTAGAGCCCAACGAGATGAAGTTCCGGCAGCTTTTAACTCAGCTTGAAGGGAAAACTCCCGGTCCCTCCCACGCGCCCGCCGAGACTCGCCGGCCGCAGGGCTCCGGGCGGGGGAGCGCGCACATCTGGCCGCCCAGGAGCCACATCTGGAGCGCTAAACCCTGCAGGCAGATGTTCAGGGGGCTGAGGAGTCAAAGAACTCCAGGGGCGGGATGCTGCGGCTGCGGCTCCTCCCTCCAGCCCTGGCAGCCAAAGTCTAGACCCGCTAGGAGCCCCAGGGGCGCGAGCTGAGCCAGTCGGCGGGTTGGGGTGTTGGAAGGAGGCCGGCCACCGGCCGGGGTTGCTGGGGTGCTGCAGCCGCGCTGGGGTGGTGGTGGTGGGGGTGATTGGGAAGCTGGAGACGCGCGGGTAGGGCAAGTGCTAGGGGCAAACTGGGTCGTGCCTGTAAACGGTAGTGCTTCGTCCCGCCGCGTCACCGAGCCCGCCCCAAGGCGTGGGATGTTGCAACCCTGGTCTCCAGAAAGAGGTGGCAGGCGGAGAGGCCGACAGGGATGCTCCCTGGAGGGGAGGGGGCCCAATCCTAGTGAGTCCCCGCCTTCTGCTCCAGCGCGGAGAAGCTAGCCTTTCCTCAGGCAGAGCCACTCGCTCCTTGCCTCCCCTAGACCTTCCTGGGATGGCGAGAAGCGTCATGTCAGATAAACCGGCCCGTCTATCTGCACTCCTCTTCCTCGCCACTCCGCACTCATCCCGCCACCCCCACCCCAGCCCGCTGACCCAGAGAGGGAGAAGCTGCAAGTGCCCTCTCGACTATCTCCAAAACCTGAGATTGTAGGAAGAAATCTGTGCGTTCCGGACGTTTGCGCGCAGTTTTGAAGTCTTGCTAAGCAACAATGTTTGCCAAGAAGTCAGGGATGTTTCCAAGAGCCTGCGTCTGTTGGATGCTCCAATCTGAACAAACCGTTTCCGTTCGAT